GGTAGCTTTAATATATTTCATGGTGGCTTTAATATCTTTCATGATAGCTTTATAATATATTTCATGGTAACTTTAATATGTTTCATGGTAGCTTTAATATGATATATATTTCATGATAGCTTTAATATATTTCATGGTAGCTTTGATATTTTTCATGGTAGCTTTAATATGATATATTTAATGGTAGCTTTGATATATTTAATGGTAGCTTTGATATATTTCATGGTAGCTTTCATATATTTAATGGTAGCTTTAATATTTCATGGTAGCTTTAATATGATATATATTTCATAGTAGCTTTAATATGATAAATATTTCATGGTAGCTTTAATATATTTCATGGTAGCTTTAATATGATAAATATTTCATGGTAGCTTTAATATATTTCATGGTAACTTTAATATAATATATATCATGGTAGCTTTGATATATTTCATGGTAGCTTTAATATATTTCATCGTAGCTTTAATATATTTCATGGTAGCTCTAATATATATATTTCATGGTAGCTTTATTATATTTCATGGTACCTTTAATGTATTTAATGGTAACTTTAATATATTTCATGGTAGCTTTAATATATTTCATGGTAGCTTTAATATATTTCATCGTAACTTTAATATAATATATATCATGGTAGCTTTGATATATTTCATGGTAGCTTTAATATATTTCATGGTAGCTTTAATATGATAAATATTTCATGGTAGCTCTAATATATATATTTCATGGTAGCTTTAATATATTTCATGGTACCTTTAATGTATTTAATGGTAACTTTAATATATTTCATGGTAGCTTTAATATATTTCATGGTAGCTTTAATATGATAAATATTTCATGGTAGCTCTAATATATATATTTCATGGTAGCTTTAATATATTTCATGGTACCTTTAATATATTTCATGGTACCTTTAATATATTTCATTGTAGCTTTAATATGATAAATATTTCATGGTAGCTCTAATATATATATATTTCATGGTAGCTTTAATATAATTCATGGTAGCTTTAATATGATAAATATTTCATGATAGCTTTAATATATTTCATGGTAACTAATATATTTAATGGGAACTTTAATATTTTTCATGGTAGCTTTAATGTATTTCATGGTAGCTTTAATGTATTTCATGGTAGCTTTAATATATTTCATGGTAGCTTTAATATATTTCATGGTAGCTTTAATATCTTTCATGGTAGCTTTAATATATTTCATGGTAGCTCTAATATCTTTCATGGTAGCTATAAGATATTTCATGGTAGCTTTAATATTTCATAGTAGCTTTAATATCATGAGTATTTCATGGTAGCTTTAATATATTTCATGATAGCTTTCATATATTTAATGGTAGCTTTAATATCTTTCATGGTAGCTTTAATATAATTCATGGTAGCTTTAATATGTCATGGTAACTTTAATATGATAAATATTTCATGGTAGTTTTAATATATTTCATGATAGCTTTCATATATTTCATGGTAACTTTAATATATTTAATGGTAGCTTTAATATCTTTCATGGTAGCTTTAATATATTTCATGATAGCATTATAATATATTTCATGGTAACTTTAATATATTTCATGGTAGCTTTAATATGATAAATATTTCATGGTAGCTTTAATATATTTCATGGTAGCTTTGATATTTTTCATGGTAGCTTTAATGTATTTCATGGTAGCTTTAATATTTTTCATGGTAGCTTTAATATATTTCATGGTAGCTTTAATATATTTCATGGTAGCATTAATACGGTTCTCATATCAATTTGAAGGTTTAAAAGTAAGGCTAATTGAGGGATTTGGACACTACCCAGTTAATGAAGTAGTGGTGCTATAGTTATGGGAAAATAAAAACAAAGAACAATAAAATAGAAAAACAACAACATTTTATTCTGATTACAATAAAAGATTTAAAATCTATCACAGACCAAAATACTAGAGCAATTATTTAAAAAAAAAAACAAATTAGATAGTTCATAATTGTTATCCTCCCCTTATACTACTTTTTAATATTGTGTGACACATTTATAGACCAAAAATATGGTTATCTAATTTTTTCTTTTTCATCTTAGGTCTTATTCAAATGTAACCAAAATAAAATCAAGTTTAATGAAATACAGTAATCTGATTGGATATTAAATCTAACTAATCAGATAACTGGAATACAAAAAACAAGTTAAAGATTTAAGAAAAGGGCTTCTGAAAATACTTGAAGTCATCTAAGGTTCTTTTTAGAATCAAACTTTTGCCTCAGGACTGTCTACAATAATAGAAAAACTTGACAAATTGTCTTTGGTTAAAATTACCATTACCCTATTTTACAGAATATTTAATTTATTTGATGCAAAAAATCGAACTTTTAAGATATTATCTTTGTTAAATATTCAACAATTTTCTCACAACACCAATTCATGTTTTCATTAGTTAATTTATGCAAATTTTAATATAATAATGCTAATTAATGTTAATTTGTAACTTCATAAGAAAATTATTAGTAAATCTTCAATCATTTTCTCACAACACCTATTAATTATTCACTTCAATCAATGTATGCAAATTTTTACGTTATTATGCTAATTACTTTACTTTGGATATATATATGTAAACAAGCTGTCGTGTAGGGCGTTAAAAATCAACAACAACAATCATCATTGTAATAAATAATAATAAACCCATTCACTTTTTATTTTTACTTCATAGGAAAGACTTGTTGCATGGTAGCTTTAATATCTTATGGTAGCTTTAATATAATATATATTTCATGGTAGCTTTAATATATTTCATGGTAGCTTTAATATATTTCATGATAGCTTTAATATATTTCATGGTAGTTTTATTATTTTTGGTAAAATTAATATTTCATGGAAGCTTTAATATATTTCATGGTAGCTTTAATATTTTCCATGGTAGCTTTAATATGATATATATTTAATGGTAGCTTTAATATATAATATATTTCATCGTAACCGAGTTTTTTTTTAATACCAGTTAACCTGTGAAGAGGAAAATAAAAAGTGTATGAGTTTTAACAACAAGGTTTTTAAACAATAATTATTAATTACTAGCAGTCTTTATATACAGCAGTTTATTTAAAACCCTGGGGATAATCCTCAATTTCTTAACTAGGATAGTGTGGTGTATGGTCCTGGTCTTGTATTCTTGAAACGATCTTACCACTGTTCCTAGGATATCCCAGCCCTAAGATCTTCTCGAGAATACGTGACCAGGATTATCAATACAGAAGAAAATAAGCCAAATATAAATCAAAAACCAATTGTACCTCTATTTTCTACTGTATCGACAATCCCACAACCTGTACTGTAACATCTTCAAAATATCAAGCTATTACGAACTTTGTCTTACACCTTGACTGCAATAACAAATAATCTTGGATCATGAAAGTTTGTAAATGCAGTGATTTAATTGAAATGTATGCCAGCGAATAAAGCCAATTAGAGAGTCTGAACACAAAGCCATAATGTTTAAAGCGAGGGCTCTAATTGGCTGTATTCGCTAGTGAATAATCCTATCAAATTGTTGCATTCTGTGATGCTAGAAAAGTGGCTAATAGCTTGACTTTGTGAAGATGAGGACATTGTACCTCATCTATTCCTACCTTTAACATTGGTACCACTGATTCAATCTCCTGTTCAATGAGAACGTGTACCTCCCTCATATATCAGTTGGACAATTAGGTGATGTGGGTTTGAATCACCCTCTTTTCTATCTAAACGTCAGCCCTAATAAAGCCTTTCCTATTAATCTATCCCATAATATTAGATAATTCATACGTAATACATAACAAATTGTCTTTTAAAAAAAGTAGGTCACTGATATTTATGCACATGCAATAGGACCAGTCCATTTTGTGCTTAGGTAGAATAGATTGAGTTGAAACTTTTTTAAGTCAAACCTATATTGTGTTCAAGGGTAACACAAACAGTAACTGTATAAGTCAGAATTGATTTCATACCACTCGAACTGTTCCTGTTTATGAATGGAATGATCCATGCATGTGCATAACTATCTTTAGCCTATTTAAATCACTTTATATACAAAACACAACAAGTCAAATAAATAAATAAATAATCTGGCATAAAAAGGCCTTAAAATGAAGAGTTTGGTTTCCTTTCTCTACACTGGTTTCAAAATGTTGCAAAAAACATGTTGCCGCACTGGTCTGGTCCTTGTTTGTCATACATGTTCAAGGGATGTTCAGCTTTGAACTTAACGATTTCAAACTTTGCTGTTCACTTTCAACGACTGTTCCATTAATACAATGACAAACAGGCTTTGAAATTCTCAAATTAAAATATTTTTCACTTTTTCATTAAGAAATTTCCCAAAAATCTGGAAATTTTTTAAGAGAAAAGCTAAAAACAAATGCCTTTCTGTCTTCTAAATTTCCAAAAACTTTCCAACAATCTGAGCAATAATGCATTCTTATTACTAAGCACTTCCCGACGATATGTAGCACATGAAATTCTCTTGGAATAAAGTTTGCAATAGATGTCTTTTGTCCAACATGGATTGTCATGAAAATCCGTCAACGGAAAAGAAGAGGTGTTGTAAAGTATATTGACGTAATACCGAATTGGGGCTGGCAACTGATCTCCCATCCAATAATTTTTCAAAAGTTTACTCTTGAATGGTTATTTAAAAACAAAACCTCATTGAGCAAAAGAAAGATGCCACACCGAATGATTTCCAAAATTCAACTTGGTTATTTGAAATTGCCTCCAATGAGCAACTCAAAAACTCAGATGCCATGTCGCACGATTTTCCAAAAGTAAATTTTAAACCAGTAAAAAAACATGGATGCTTCAAAACACAACCGTAAAAACTGGCCAAAATCCAACATCCTGAAATATCCTTGTTGGTTCTTTGCGAGTTTCTGTGCTTCTTTACCTGTCTTTGATAAAGTTGAAAGGTCACGAATGGGTCACGACGCACGATTTGCATTAAATAATTTAATATCAGGAATATTCGAATCTCGTTCACCATTCAACCAATATGTAGTCACCTTACCCTTACCCTGAAAAAAATTAGAAAAATATATATTAAGATATCCATGCATTGGATATTTTTTCGGGGAAACAAGAGGGTTTCAAAATCCAAGGGATAGAGCTGAGCTACTGAAAGCCAATAAGATGAATCTTAGTGCAATGAATCATAAAATCATCAAGGCAATTAGCAGAAATATGGTGAATTATTAATTTACAATTTGTTTAAACTGAATTCTAAATGGTCAAGTAAATATTTCAACAACTGTTTCCACTTATGTTTTTATCAAATTTTAAAAAATTCAAGTGAAATATAGTCGACCAACCTTCATTTCCACCTCTCCCCTCAGTTCTAAATCAAAAGTACCAAAATTATCTAAAACTTCTTTTGTTTGTGGACTGACATGAATTCTTAAAGCTGAAATAAACAATAGTATTTATCATTAAAGTAATACAGTCTGTAGTTCAGGTGGTCTCGATGCCCCTTCTGAACAACTCGACAACCACAGAGCTGTCTGCGTCACTTATCAGAATGGAACCTTGTTTGTCTGCAATGAAAGCAATGACAGTATCCATCTACAATGATTTTGCACCAGTACTTTCACAAAAGTTTGAAAATAAATCAACTTACGTAGACCGTTGGATTCCATTCTAGAAGAAGTATTGACAGTATCACCGAATAAACAGTATCGTGGCATTTTCAATCCTACCACACCTGCTACCACATACCCCGTATGAATTCCAATACGTAATTTTAACTGTTCGTTCGGTCGATGACGTATTTTGAAAGACAATACTGCATTTAATAGTGCTAAAGACATTCTTGCTACCTCACGAGCGTGTAAGTTACCATTCCTCACTGGAAGGCCTGACACTACCATATAGGCATCACCGATTGTTTCCACCTAAAATAATCAAATATAGTGCTCAGCAGGGCTGTTGATTTATTTTTTTGTCAATCAGACATTTTTCAAGACCTTGAGAGAAGTTGATAATGATAATATTGTTCATAGAAAACTAAAAACAATCAGTACATAACAGACACTATACTTCTCGCCCATTGGGCGAGTTATTTTTTCTAATTTCAGATCAGAATTAGAACAGAAGAAAACCCAATATCAAGAACCTTAATCCTAATTTCTAAATAAAGTGTCTGCTCCACCCTAGGCCTGTACATTTGGGAGAATCAAACCCTCCCTTCCCCGAAATATAATTAGATGACAGGATCTCATGTAAATAATATTTCCAGCTTTTCAAGCTGAACATAGTGTCTGAACATATGTCTGAAATTGGTGTCTGAAAATAGTGCATCCAACCGACGAAACAAATTTTTCAATTCTGTCCTACAACCACATCAAACCAGACTGAAAAATGCAAAGGTACTATCTAAACCTATACTGATATATGAGCCCAATTCTCTATGCTTCTACTCAATAAGCAGGATAACCCAGATCTCCAAACTTGAAAGAAATCGAACTCGATGATCCACCTCCGAAAAAGAAGAAATTGATTTACCTTATAAACATCAAAATGTTCAATTATAGAATCAAATGTTGTATAGAGATCATTCAGTAGGTCTATCACCTGAAATAGAAAACAGAGTACAAATTGATAGGGGTGAGGACATAAGTGAGTGACAGACGGCAGGAGGCAACCACCAAAACACTGGTAGATCATCAGAAGTGATTTTTGTATAGCCTATATTTGCAGACGACAATCCAACTCTCTGATAAATGAGATAGTTAAAGTGCACAAATATCCATACTTGACTTTTTAAGAACACTTGTGCTCTTCTACCAAGGTCAAAGTTTAAAAGTCAAAGGTCACATACCTGCATTGGTGTACTGGCAGCAGAAAGAGCTGTAAAACCACAGATGTCAGAGAAATAGATAGTGACACTCTCAAACGATTCAGCAGCTACTGATTCACCTCGTATCAACTGACCAGCTACTACCCTATGGACAAAACAAAATTTTTTAGATATAATTTTACAAAGGTGTCCTTTCAACCCTTGATCAAGCTACTACCCTGTCATATACAACAGAAAATTCACCATGATTCAACAAAAGGTGTATCAGCTTATCAAATATCCCTTGATCAACGTACTGCTTATCATAGGTACACCCAGTTCAGCCAGCCCTATCACAGTTCAAAACATACGCATTATATATGCGAATATACAATACTTGTACCATTGATATTTTGCAGTCACAGGCTTATATTTTTCTGATCCCTGTCTTGTGAATAATGAGCCACGTTAGACCTACATCCCTGTCTTGTGAATAATGAGCCACGTTAGACCTACATCCCTGTCTTGTGAATAATGAGCCACGTTAGACCTACATCCCTGTCTTGTGAATAATGAGCCATGTTAGACCTACATCCCTGTCTTGTGAATAATGAGCTATGTTAGACCTACATCCCTGTCTTGTGAATAATGAGCCACGTTAGACCTACATCCCTGTCTTGTGAATAATGAGCCATGTTAGACCTACATCCCTGTCTTGTGATTAATGAGCCATGTTAGACCTACATCCCTGTCTTGTGAATAATGAGCCACGTTAGACCTACATCCCTGTCTTGTGAATAATGAGCCATGTTAGACCTACATCCCTGTCTTGTGATTAATGAGCCATGTTAGACCTTCATCCCTGTCTTGTGATTAATGAGCCACGTTAGACCTACATCCCTGTCTTGTGAATAATGAGCTATGTTAGACCTACTATTGCCATTATTCAATTCAATTGATAACCAATTATGTTACAACCCCAATTACATTTGAAATTTGACTTCCTTTGAAATAAAATATAACAGATATATAGCTGGAAAACAAATATTTAGGCAGCTATATCTTTTGAAAAATAGAAACCAACTTACTTAGGTAACATGGAATAAAGTAGATCCTCAGCTTTTCGTTTTTCTTCCAGGTAATCTGAGGTTCGTTCTGCTACCAGCGCCTCCAGATTGTTAGCATATTGTTCCATTCGAGACAGAAGATTATCTAATATATTTCCTTTATCTCCATCCCTGCAAATATTTAAATTCTCTTGGTTATTATTGAGCCTGGGGAAATTTTTCACAAAACTAAATTTCCAGATGATTTTAGTATTCCTGTCATCTGATTGGTCTATCACTAAAATTAATCCTAAACTTAGTTTTATTATCCAATCAGATAACTGAATTTTAGTGTTCCTGTCATCTGATTGGTCAATCACTAAAGTAAATGTTAAATTTAGTTTTATTATCCAATCAGATTACTGTATTTTATTGTTCCTGTCATCTGATTGGTTAATTACAATGTGTCTATGAATTCCTAGACTAGGCCAATGATCAATCTTATACTTACTTATTCAGTTTTCTGATAATTGATTTAAGAGCAGGGAAATCAGGTCGTTCCAGGGGATCTTCTGCCCAACATTTCCTGATAACCCCAGCTAGCTCATCACAGGGACAGTCAAATTCTTCTAATGTAGGTCTGAAATATGGTTTCATACCATTTTTTACCTTGTCAAATATTTCTGAAAATAAAAAACAAAAAATGATTAAGGTGAGAATATCACATAATATTACTCTGCCACTGGGTTGTCAACTTGGCACTCCTTTCAGAGAGTTCACATAGCTATTGAGTTTATTGGCTTATCAATTCATCGTCCCTTTAAACGACTTCACATAGATGATAATGACAAATTCTTTTTGGCTCTCTGAACTAAAAATGTGCACATGAATAATATCTGTTTAATTAAACTGAAGTAGCATATTTTATCTGATAATTTCTTGAAATGATATGAAGAAAACTAGGTTAGAAAAATTCTTCTGATTCTGTAATTTTTAACGCATTAGTTAATACATCATTGGAAATAAACAAAGAAAGCAATCAGAATTTTCCAGCTGACTGGTAGAAAAATAACAAAACCAATATTACGTTATGTCATTACAAATGGCTTCCTGTTAATTGTCTCGGCCAATGAAATGTTAATATTTATTCCCAGATCGGAAATGACCACGACTTATAACGCGTCAAGTGTTACGACTTTCTACCAGGGGAGGTAATTCAGACTTATTGGATTGTTCGCTTCAATGGATTACAGTAATAGACTTGTCAGATTTCAACACGATCATGGAAACTTGATGACTTGGTGTTTTTACACCAGTAAGGATACAGTAATGGCTTTAAAGGGATTGTAAAGAGGTCTTCTAAAAATACTATGTGTATCAGGGACACAGACAACAATTTAAAACATTCCTATTTTCAATTTTTCAATAGCTTATACATAAAACGTTTAGAAAACAGCTTTACAATCTCTTCCACTCTTGTCAATAAAATTCTGTGCTAATTTTGTTTGGATTATATCCACAGTATTAAAAGTTTTGTAATTATTTGCTTCAACAGCTGATGTGTAGCACTTTTCAGATTTATATTCTGACACTTGGTTCTCCTGCAATTTAGCAGAACCATAATAGTCATTTCCAGAGCTTTATAAATATTCTTGTGTACAGTTATTACAAAGGACATCATTATATCAGTTATACCAACACAACGTAGGTTGATAACAACAAGATTAAATTTGTTAACTTCATACCTTGTGGGCTAAGATCTAAATTAGCCAGATAAAACACTCCCATTCTGTAGACTATTTCTTGACAGATTATAGCAAAACTATACACATCCCCTTTATGAGTGCCCTCTGGGGGGCGATGCTGCATTCTCAGAAGTTCTGGGGCAGTCCATAATTTACCTGGGGATAAAAGAAAAATTAGTACAGGTATTTCATTAATGAGAACTGTCCAGGGTTGTTAATTAGTCTGTATTTACCAGTTGTGTCTGACTATATCTTTAGACTGTTGATTAGATTTGAGATCAAGTTACTGATTTGGCTTCATTTGCCATTCACGTCTGATAATAGCTAAATGATGGCTGGCGGTGAGTTTGGGCCTAAGGACATTTATTTATTTACATAGCTAAATATGCATGGTAAAATGTAATCAAGAATGCTGTCAGATCATGAATGAATTAAGCAACTCAGAAGAAAAAAGAAACTAAATGTCTATAACAGTATTTCATTAAAAATTAGATTGAGTGAAGTAACCCAGAGAAAAAAAAGAAACAAAATATATAAAGCTATATTATATTTCATTATAATAAAATATCCTTTGGCAAAGAAATTTTAAAACTTACGATTGTAGGCAGCGAACGTGTCCTCTTCCGGTCCCTCTGTTTGAGATCGTAGATGATGTAAACCAAAATCAGTAATTTTTACCACAAAACGACTATCAACTACACAATTAGTACTTTTTAAATTACCATGACTTTTAATTTCTGTACCAGTTAAATATGTCATACCCTGATAATACAAAAACAAACATTCAGTATCTCATGGGTTTGAATCTTCCACATGGATACAGATATCTAGAAAATACCTAAGGTGCTGATATCTCTTGAGGCTAGTGGTCTGGGGGTTGTCAGGAATCCAGATGCTAATGGATTTCAGATGAATTTTGAGCATTTAGTCGGCTTAGTGTTCACTTCTAAAGACCTTTCACAGGACTTTCATGACCCACCCCCTAAATGGATCCACATCCAAGACAAATTCTGATGCCTTGACCAATGCTTCTAAGAGTGATGTCATCTTCTATGTCTTCCACCTAACCAGATCATGCATGACCATTTTTTTCCACACAGATTTAGATAAATACTGTTCAATTCTATAATACTGACTATACTAATGCAGCCATTTTTTCTACAAGTTTTCACAAGATTTTTGTAAATTTGTAATTCACCATGGCCGGTGCTTCTGAGTGTGCCACTTACCCGAACTATATCTTGCATGATAGAGTATCTAAACATCCAGTCTAATTTAATCTGCTCATTTTCTAATACATCCTGAAATTACATCAGAATTTCGTTAAAAAAATACAGAAAAAAATTATAAATTTAGGCCTACACACTACTCCAACCATTATTCAAACATTACAGAAATACTCTCCCTTTAGGACATAAGAAACTGGTTGATCTTTTAGTGATTATTTTCGCTAGAAATTTCTTGAATGTAGGAGTGTTTCAATTATGATCTTATTTATGATAAATCTTTTAAATCAAATGTATTGTATATTGATCGATTTTGATTCTGTTTTCTCATTCAGACTTTGCACCTGTGCTGAAATCAGCCATCTTAGAGGTTGTATTGGTTCTTCAATATTGAGAATGATGATGTGATCTCTATTCCTAAAAGATGCAAAAGGATTAGAAGGGGAATTGTTTGAAATGAAATGAAACAGTTTTAAGTTTACTTTTCTGCACCAGATTAGGCTAATTGCAGTGTGCAATGGGGGAAACCAGCATTAGCCTACTCTTTTTGATTTCCAACAGTTGAAGGTTCTTTAACGTATAAAATTATTGGAATTGTACCAAAGATATGATTTTATTTTTCTTATTTCTAACTATATTAGGCTCTCAGACAGGTAGAATAATATTTTCTGTACAAACAAATCGAGCGTGTTCGCGTCTCACGTTCATTGATCTCATTCCTAATTCTTCTGTTAAAATAACAGAGAAACTGATTCCACAGACAAATCACAGAGAACTGGTGTTTTTACAGATGTTTTTACAGAAAATTACAAACACTGAGTGAATGACATAGTCAGTCTCAGTTTTAAGTTGAAAAGTTCAAGGCCATTGCTCAAAACTTTGGATTTCAAAGTTGCCATTGCTTTCTCTGCAAGAACCGCAGAAATCTAGCACTCAAGGTCTTGGTTTATTTTCCCATTCGAACGACTAGACGCGTTTTCTATGTCAGCAACTCTTACCTGACAAGGGGAAACTGGAATAAAAAGTTTAGAAAACCCGTTTTTGAATTTATGAAAGGCTTCTCAAGGTAATCACTTCAAAAAATTTAATGCCACTGAAAGCAAAAATGCACTAAAATTTTATTCGAATTCATATTTGTTAACACAAATTCAGCCATTTTTATAATATTTACCAAGATTCTAATGAAAAAAAAAGTTAATTTTGTCGTTTCAAAAGAGTCAAAAATTTCATCAAGAGAAATAATAATTATTTTATTGGAATGTAAAAATCAATTTGGATATTTCTACATTTTGAGTATTTTCACAGCGTCTGGCTGCATTATAAATAGACATTTTATTTATCTTCTGAAATATTGTTAAATTCATGTACAGCAAAGAAAATACGGCACAATGTCACCAGTGAAAACTTAATTTTAATATTTGTGTTAAAAGTTCGAAAGAAATTGCCGATGTTACCAGACTGAAAAGGCCAGACGAAACCATTTATTTTAAAGCTAACCATGCATGGAACAATGAACTAGAGTGAAGAATGAGTTTTCATTTTGAAATGGAATATTGTAACTTATTAACAACTGGTTTCTCATTTTTCGCTCAGGGATGTTATTGTGTTTGTATTTGCCAGTCAAATCTGACTAGAGCTGAAGGTTGTAAATGAGCTGTCTAAAAAGACTTCCAAGATTGTCCAACTGTTCATGGTTGCTCAAAAGAGTGGCAGGCTATAAAATAGGGACGTTGATTAGACTGTATTTGCCAATCATGTCTGACAAGATCTTTTGGAAAACTATTCCAATCAATAAACCTTAAAAACCATATTTTTTATCTAGAATTTCGAATCATATATATAGCCAAGTTCATCAAACAAGGATATTCTTTAAAAAAACAACGACACAAATGTAAACCAAAACCCATATATTGTTCAACACAGGGAGAAAGGATTCAATCTCAATTCCTTTTATAAATCAGAAATCAGTTCTAAAACCTAGCCTATTTCACCTCTATTGAACTCTTTTCATGATTGACAGACATGAAAGCTATCCCATATTTACAAGCTGAAAAGATCTCCAGAGAAAAAACATGGCCACTCAAGGACATAAATACAGACATCGTAAAAACACTAACGAGTATAAAACTACTTAAATCTCTTACATAAAAAACTACTTGCAGTAATCACATGATCACGAGACTTTGACGAGACCACGATGTTATCAAACAAGTAGGACATGAATTAACCATCTTGCCATTCAGTGGAGTCAATACAATTTACATGGAGGGGAAAAAACTACCAAACAAGTACAACATGGATTGTCGCTTGATTTGAATTTTCGATGTCACTTACTGCTCTGTACAATTAGTGGAATTAAGAAAGAAACCAACAACCATATTTTACGAGGATAAAAACTTATGTTCTCAGTTTCAAGGATACTTTCTACCAGCTAGTCCGCACCCTTTGACAGCTGGGTCGACTGGAGTAATGAGGAAAGATGACATATTCAAGATCACTAGACTATAACACATCAACTGATATCAGATCTCCTCATTCAAATCTATATTACAAAATAGTTCCCGGTCATTTTACTTGATAATATTATCTGTATGTGTTTCTAAACTTAGTATGTAATAAACTCTGAAATAGTATATCTATATATCTTGTGTTCTTAATGTTTACCTTCCTGTCTTACAAAGATTAAAATAGCTTCTGGTCCCCAAAAGAAAACACAAGTGCATAGAAAAATGTGAACCCAGATTATCCGTACCCATTTATGATTGAGTTGACTGGAATAACGAGTAAAGATGATTGAGTCAGCAGACTTTGATATGCCGACCGAGATTAGAACCATAGACCATGAACAACCAAGGCTCAATCAGATCTAGAACAGTAGAATGTTAACCTACTTTTCATTAAACCATAAAGCACAGAACAGTAGGATGTTAAACATCATTCCGTTTTTCTTTAAGCTTCAGTTGCTGGTAATATTGTAACTTTTTGGAGAAGAATAGAATAAAATGAAAGGCATCAAAGACTAAGAACTGAACATGTCCATCGTCCAGAGTTGTCAAACATCTTTATAGAGGTTTTCAATTGCTGAGCAAGTTTTTATTTCATATTTTTACATCTTTTCATCTCGTTTTCCAACATGGCCGAACTATTCAACCTTTATTTTGACAGGGAAACAACTCAATGAAATGTGTAAGTCTATAGCAATCTTTGATCTTTTAGTTCCAGAAATTCTTAGTTCCAATTCTCAGAAATTTGTCTTGTTGTCAAGGACACAATAACTTCAAGCTAACCAAAAAAATAAAAATACCAGGAACTTTGATGTTTTGGTTTTAGGATTTCTTTTATTTCCAATTCTAAAACCTTCGATTTCTATGGATTTATCAGAATTTGGTCCCAATGGCGGAAACTAATGTTTGAAAGTCAAAACACAACCATACAACTGTCAAATAAACTATCATAAACTTTTGAAAAAAATAAGCAACTTCACTTTATTGGCCTACTAACTGAGTAATTTCTTTTTAATGGAAACGAAATATCTAATAGCCAAAACACAAACAAGAGCTTCTCAAAAAAGACCAAGAAAAACTTCTTGCGTGACTTTTTGCACAAATTTCATCTTTTTTCATTGAGAAATCAATACACATGTAGTAGACGCCTGAAGAGTTCATAAAAAAAAGAGCATAAAAAGCATGTGGCAATCAGAAACTTCTGAAGTGAGACAGCAGGTTTCATTGAATAAGTTTATTTATTGAATAATTTCGATTTATTGCAAATACCTCTTAGACAAACGCAAAAAAAAAAAAGGTAAACGTTTGAAGAGCTGGTAAAAAAAGAGCAAGAAAAGCATTACAACTGCAACTTTTATTTTATATTTATTGAGAAATCGAAACACCTCTACACAAACCTCTGAAGAGCTTGTTAAAAAAAGAGCAAGGAAAGCGTGTGAAAAAAATTCAAACACGACAAAACAATGATTAATTCTATACACGAATCAATATATATATCGGACCACAATGGCGGAATAATGACTTTTCGGTGTCGGACATCGGAGGTCAATAATCATGTACTTGAGTTCGTTATGTTGTTTGAAAAGAACCGTCGAGGTAAATGGATATTTGTGATCTTCGTTTATATTTCGCGCTATAATCTCTCTCTTCCTTCACTAATGAAGAATTAATCAAAGGAAATTTAAAAGATCTATTAATTGAGGTGGATTGATTATTGTTTTGAAGTTGATGGTGATGTTTGTTTTGACTATTTATAAAGTTATACTGTAAACTGTAATCACTGTGTCAATGACTCAAACCTTTCTATTGATATACTTTCTACTTTCAAGGGATATTGCCATCTAAAAATTCATGATACCAGCTTCCAGGATGTTTTCATCTAAATCAGAGCTTCTGAACCACCGCCTCTCCAAGGGAGGACTTGTTAGACCATGGGATGGAATTATTGTCAAGGGAGGAGTCTACTGCTGGTGAAGTGCCAGTCTAGATATATGGAGTATGAATATTCATTCATGGTTAATCGTTTTTTTTTATGAAATACCGTTTAAAATGACAGATTTATTTTGGGGAGATTTGGAAGAACTTTTCTGAGGAGGAACGATCTGACTAAGGTTGAGAAGCAGTGATCTGAATATTTACGTTTAGTGGAGGAAGGTCTCACCTGTAAGGATCCTTTAGGGCAGTATTCTGTTAAAACACAGAGATTACTAGGGTCTATACAGGCTCCTATAAACCGTACTGTATGGTCATTCTGTAGATCTTTTATCTGAAATTTACAAATAGTAATCATTAGACGACAGAGAAGAATAGTCTGTGCTTGTTGGACATTGGCAGAGAAACTTTAAAGTTTTCAATTGAGGTGCTTTGTTTTTAAGATTTGAAAAGATAGGATTATTGAATTATGGTACCATTCTGGTAATGAATAGGGAGAATATTAAAGAAACCATGATGGCAAAACTTTTCGAAATACCCCAATTCCAGAAAATCTTCATCAGATTTTGATGTCAATATTGCAAAAAAAAAAAAAAAAAAATGTGTTATTTTTGCTTTACAAGTCGATATATCTACAGTTTTTTTTAAATATTTGGCTTCCATGTTCTATTTTATATTTACAACTAAAACAAATTTAACACAATGTAATCCAGGTTTTAGAGAAAGAAAATGATCAATGGTGAATCTAATGTCCATTTATCATTGTACAAGTTCTTTTTCTAAACTGTTTATATTCGGTAAATCAGTACGTACGACCAATCAGTTGTCTTTTATTTTAACATTTTCAATTAGATACACTTAGAATGAAGGTGACAATACAACCATTAATGAATTGGTTACATAATTAAAGTTATTTTAGGAAAAACGATCAAGCCAAATTTACCGGTCACGTCTGACTAAAGCTAAAAAAAAAAGGCTAATGAAGCAAGCAACACCAGACAGTGTGCAATGAGGGAAACTTTGTTAGGACATCGACATTAGCCTCCTCTTTTTCAATTTCCAACTGTGTAGGGATCTTTAAACTGCACAGTCTGTAGCACACGGGCCTTGGTTTAATGTCCCATCTGAAGGCCCAGCCCCTCTTACCTGCATCACTGACAGGGGGGAACAAAACACAAAAAACAAATTTCCTGTTATAAGCAGTGTACACATGTAGGCCTACATCAAATGTATCTAACAATGTCATGAATTCAATCTAATTTAAAAGAAATAATTATATGAGATAATGGTCCATTAATCATTCCAAGTTACATCTGTATTTCTCTCTAGTCAGCTTAACTTATCCCCTTCATTTCCTCCTCAATAATTCCAAAAATATCGATCACTTTCAGAATTAAATTCCTTTTTTTTCAATGATGAAATTTTGGATGAATTGTTAGATTTAGTGATTAGATGAAATCCGGGCGATTTTGTTTATGATGCGAGTTGATCAAGACAAATTAACTGTGTTGATTTATTCGTGGTGAACGTGCACGGAATCAAATTTACCCATAAAACAGTTGTTATTGACGATATGTGTAATTCATTCTTCCACTAAAAAAAACATACGCTTGTATTAAAGCCATAGTATGAACCAGTTTCGTTCTTTTTATTTTATTTTAATGGATGTTTTATTTTGAGCCTTTCCAGTGGATTATGATCTGACAGAATTCTTTTTAAATAATGTTCAGTTGTTTCTGTCATAATTCATGCTAACCAATCAAAAACATTGTAAGAAGCGGTTTGACAATACAAGGCCAAATTTCTGCAATATCATATCTTTTGGCCCTACCCTGACTTCAAGGCCTACAATGGCTCTACCCCTCACTTGTCCTCCGAAAAAATACTTAATTCCAAGTGGATAATGGCTTTAACCCATTATGCTGAGTATTTCCAAAAATACCCAATTCCAGCCTACAATGGCTTTAACCCATTATGCTGGGTATTTCCAAAAATACCCAATTCTAACCTACAATGGCTTTAACTCACCACCCTGGGTAGAGAAGAATATTTATGATTAAATTTGATGAGGTTTGGTAACAGAATAAGAACTTGTTTTAAATTGCAGCTTTCAAACTAAATTACAGAATCAGTACAAAATAACGATGTTTTTTCACTCGATTAATCCACGCCATTAAATCGTTACGACTCAATTGGGAACATAAATTTTCAAACGCTGCCACAAACAGATTACTATATAAATTATACTGAAACAGACGATAGCCGCCATCTTGTTATATCTTCTGCTTATTTTCATTCAACAGAACAATTTAAAAAATCTTAATTGAATCTGATTGTCTATTTTTAGATCCTTTCTACCAGCCAGTCCTTGGTCAAACCTAGGATTATCTGAGCCCAGTTACAGCTGGGATGAAGGAAAAACTATATTTTACAAGGATAAAACCTTAAGTCCACAGTTCATTAGAATCCAGCTAGTCCTTGACCAAAATTCTTGGCATTGATCTTTCTCGGATTATCTGTACCTATTTACAGCTGGGTCGACTGGAAAGATGACATATTCAAGATCACCAGACTTTAACACATCAACTGATTTAGAATCTCCTCATTCAAATCTATATTACAAAATGGTTTCTGGTCCCAAAAGAAAACATAAATGCAGAGAAAAATTGTAAACCTACCCTTTTTATTTCTAGTAATAATGGTTTCTGTATGGTGATGGAGTGACGATCTATTTTCTTGATGGCCACAATCGCTCCCTGAAATACAGACGAAGAAAGGTATAGATTATTAGAGTCTAACTCTTAACAGAGGCGTTTCTACGAGAGGAAATACCCACTCCCAGAATTGATTTGGTTTTGTCCTCCCCCACCCACACTGTGAACCCCCTTTGATAATTCTGTGGCCTCTTCTTGCCAGGGACCTCAAATGGACTGCCAATTAGAATGGTGTAAATCGATGCTATCAGTGTTCCCAATACACCAATGTTTAGAGAACTCCTTTACAACACCTTTAAACATTTCTATAATCACAAGACTCACAGACATCTGATTGAAAATTGGAATATTTTAAATTGATGCTATCAGTGTCCCTGATACACATACAATTTCTAGAAAACCTCTTAATGATGGTTTATGGACTTGTTTAGTATCATCAAGTGTAATTTAGTTTAAGTATAACTTTATCTTTGTTTTATATTATTTTGTTTACATCATTTCTTAATGTTAATAAACCTTTTCTATTCTAGCCAATTGTGTTAACATCAAACATGAGGGGAGATAAAACCTCCTTACAATCCTTGTTATGACCGAGAGAACCTACCTTGTAGTACCCTGTCTTAGTAAATAGTTGTCTGTTACCAACATCACCAAGGTGACAGGCTATCGTATCACCAGAACAATCACTTACATACGAGTTACGCTGAAAAAAATATTATATTTATCAGTTGCTGTGAATACTTATTGTGGGTGGGCTAATAAATTATCGGATTACATACAAACCTCAAGTCAGATTTTGTTTTGAAAAGTGTTCAATGAAACTCGGTTTACCCCCAAACCTTTTTAGAAATTAAACTCCTATTCTTAAACTAGTTGTCCTGATGAACATCGTGTATCTGAAACGTTTATCAGCAGCATTAAATAAGCTCTAGTCAATTAACTAACTTTTAGTCCTATATTGGAAAGTTGATCTCAATTTCTATCCCGATGAGGATTGTATATCTAAAACACTGGTCAACATGAGATGAGCTCTAGTCAATTTACTTTGTATAATGCTACCTGATCAACACCTAAGTCTCACAAAAAATGTATAAAAAAAAAACTTTGCTGGTTGTTTTTTTTTTCAAAGAAAAATTAATTATAACCTAAGTTTATACACTCTGTTGTTAAAAGATGAAATTAGATGGCATTTCTTTGATATTTTCAAAAATATCACAAAATATTGATGAAATATGAAACCCTTTAATCTATCTTGTCTGTGTTTATTTTCACAATTATAATCTCTTGTCAATGGTACTGATATTACACTATCTTTTTTTAAACCCTGTCATGTCTAATCAAAATATATGTGGACTCTCTGAAAGACATACTAAAATGGAATGGTGTTTTACGTCATGATCTTTTGTAACTAATTGTGTTCTTGTCAATGTGAGTAATTTTGCCACAGCATCTGCATGAAATGGATGACAAGTTGTCAAACTTTTATACCAAATAAACATTATTAGATATGTGGACTCTCTGAAAGGGATGCTGAGTTCACAAAACTAAATACCCAATATAACATTATAAGATATGTGAACTCTCTGAAAGGGATACTGAGTTGACAAACTTTAATACAAAATCTTTATGGTATAAAAGTTTTCCAGCCTTAGACTCTTCGCTATTAAAATATCATAATTTAAAAACCTGCTCAATATGTCTGTATCAAGAGGGCCAATATCAGATAATAACATTATTACACTGTTACAATGCATGAATGCGTTGACAGATTAAGCAGACACAATTTTTAATCTTTAACGCATAAATACAGCGTAAATCACCTTGGAGGCTATTGATAAAAAATATCAATAAATTTGAGTTATAGTGTATAGGTAGCACACATGTTAAAAACATAAAAATGTCAGACAGTGAATCTATCCATTACGGTACTTGGCATTAACAAAATGACTTTTAACAACCAAACATCACATTGTCCAATTATCACGTTATTGAAAGCCAAATGATTAACGAGATATTTGCTTAAATTAAACTCTCGTAATTTTCTTTGACGAAGTTTCCGATATTCGTTGATTTTATTATTGATTTTATTTTACTTTCATCTTTTAATTTCATCTGGGAAATTTTTTTTTTATTTTATCGTTAAATATCCCTTTGAATTTCTTTAATGAATTCATTTTATACTCTGAATAAAGTTCCATTTTCTTATAGTGATTTTTACAATTTTTCTAAATTCAAAGTCTAAGGATTGGTAAACATTTAATTAATGTCTAACGTTAACATTTTTCAAAATGGAATAATTTATTTTATTTTATTGTAGACGAACATAGTTTCATTTGCAAAGGGGTCAATTTGAAATTTAAATTAGAAGAGCTCCTCTTATGTTTGTGTATAAGACACATGTTTCAAAAACACAATCCTCATCAGGACAGCTAGTTTTAGAAATTGGGGTTTATTTGCCAGTATATAACTTAATGTGAGCTAATTCGCCATGCTGTCGACATGTTTCAGATATATAACCCTTATCAGGACAGCTAATTTTAGAAATGGGGGGTAACTTTCTAATATAACATTAATGTTAGCTAATTGATTAGAGTTCATCTCATGTTGTCAACATGTTTCAGATATACAATCCTTATCAGGACACCTTAACTTCCAATATATGACTTAATGTAAGCTAACATGTGTTTCAGATATACAATCCTCATCAGGACAGCTACCTCAAGGTTAATTTTCTAATATAAGAAACTCCCAGTTATCAGTATGTAAAATTTAGATTACTACATCACTTGAAGAATTCCATCAGTTCAAAGATTTCTTTTACAGTTTAAATCAAACGTTCAGTTTTTTTCCACGTTAATCTAAATTCTCAATAAAAGGGATATTTTTCTGAGAAAATCTTACCATTAAAACAGAAAGCCTTATCTCTGATAGAAATGTGGTCCTCATTTTTAACATCTCAATTCAGATGACAGTTTTATTTGAATAAAAAGCAACTTTTATGGTTTCAAGTGTAAAATCGATTCAGTGGTATCAATTTTCAGCTTAATTTGTGATTATTGTGACTTAATTCCTGACTTTTTTAATCCTCCTCATTTCCTTTGATTTTGTAAGTGATAAAGTCATCCATAGAGCTTGGTTTAGCTCTCTTTTCAACAGATGAATCCTTTTTTTTTACAAGGATAACAACTTAGGTTCACGGAAACCCTTCTACCAGCTGATCCTTGACCCAACCTCTTGGTAATGATTTTACAAGGATAACAACTTAGGTTCACAGAAAGCCTATCTACCAGCTGGTCCTTGACCAAACCTCTTGGTAATGATTTTACAAGGATAACAACTTAGGTTCATAGAGAGCCTTTCTACCAGCTGGTCCTATACCCAACCTCTTGGTAATGATTTTACAAGGATAACAACTTAGGTTCACAGAGAGCCTTTCTACCAGCTGGTCCTATACCCAACCTCTTGGAAATGATTTTACAAGGATAACAACTTAGGTTCACAGAGAGCCTTTCTACCAGCTGGTCCTATACCCAACCTCTTGGTAAAGATTTTACAAGGATAACAACTTAGGTTTACAGAGAGCCTTTCTACCAGCTGGTCCTATACCCAACCTCTTGGTAATGATTTTACAAGGATAACAACTTAGGTTCACAGTGAGCCTTTCTACCAGCTGGTCCTATACCCAACCTCTTGGTAATGATTTTACAAGGATAACAACTTAGGTTCACAGAGAGCCTTTCTACCAACTGATCCTTGACCAAACCTCTTGGTAATGATTTTACAAGGATAACAACTTAGGTTCACAGAGAGCCTTTCTACCAGCTGGTCCTATACCCAACCTCTTGGTAATGATTTTTCAAGGATAACAACTTAGGTTCACAGAGAGCCTTTCTGCCAGCTGGTCCTTGACCAAACCTCTTAGTAATGATTTTACAAGGATAACAACTTAGGTTCACAAAGAGCCTTTCTACTAGCTGGTCCTATACCCAACCTCTTAGTAATGATTTCACAAGGATAACAACTTAGGGTCACAGAAAGCCTTTCTACCAGCTGGTCCTTGACCAAACCTCTTGGTAACGATTTTACAAGGATAACAACTTAATCTCACAGAGAGCCTTTCTACCAGCTGGTCCTATACCCAACCTCTTGATAACGATTTTACAAGGATAACAACTTAGGTTCATGAAGATCCTGTCTACCAGTTGGTATTTGTACAAATCTAATGATATTGGACTTTCTGTACCCATTTACAGCTGAGTCATCTGGAATTATGAGTGAAGATGACTTATAATAGGTCACCAGACTTTCACAAGCTGACCGAGATTTGAATCAACGATTACCATTTTTTTTGCGTAACCAAGCAAATGACTTCCAATAGTTCTTCATATTATAATGAGGAATTGAAATTGGGATTTCCAATGTGTTTTAAACTGACACCTTTTGCGCTCCAAAAAAATAATTGGGAACTCACTCTATTGAGACTTACCCTACTGCCCTGACGTTCTAGTTTATGATTTTTCTCCGGGGAACCGAAGATAATATCTTCCCATCTCACCCTCCAATTCATCTCCGCTAACTCAGCTTCCAACTTGATATGTCTGAAAAATACAATAAAATGTCCGTAAAAAATTTAAACCACAATTGTAAATCTTTTTCAATGAAAAAAAAAGTTTATAACAAGAAATAAGACTGAAAAATACTAAAAATGTCTGTAATTTTACAAATATTTCTAGAAAAAGAAACAAATAACTACAATAAAATCACCTTTATGTAGCAATCTCAGTTTAAACTACCACAGGACAAATTTATAATAACTGTCGAACTAAACACTAGATTTACATTCTGATAAGAGCTACAGATGGCCGAAATTAAGCTCTATCAGCTATTTAAATTATTCTGACGAATAAATCCCTTTAAAACATGAGAATTTAATAGTCAGCTGATGAAGTATACAATTAGGCCATAAAATCCCTTGAATACGAAGAATAAATATTGGTCATGCCTCTGTCTGAAGAAGGTTACTATTGTAGTTCAAGTCTACCAATTACTGGCCCAATAGCTTCTCTTGACGATACTCAAGAACTTCCCAAGTTAGTTTGAGGACACTTCTTGTGCAGTTTGTTTACTTACACAATTTCAAACAATTAAAAAGTTTCATTCATCGAGCTTCGATGCTCCAAAATCAATTTTCTTTTCATAAATCTTGAATTAATGTCATCCTGTAGTCAAACACTGCAGAGATCTTGATGAGTTTTAGATGAGCCAATAATTGTTGGAATATTTTTTCGGTGTATTTTTGGATATAGAAAATCGATGATCGTCAATAAGCTCTTCTTTTTAAAAGAGATTTTTAGTTTTTATGGTCTTAAAGTGGCAATGTGATCCAATTTTCAGGGAATATTTCTTTAACATTTATATTATAGATGTGATAAAAAGGTGAGACATAAAACTAATGGTGAAAACATTGTCCTGACATTTGAACAGTCCTGCTAGACATGTCTGGCTAATAGAGTCAGATCGACATCCCTTTATCATATAAATGTCTTACTGCTGAAGACAGGCAACCTGGGGCCTTAATTTATTGTTGATCAACGAGATGCTTTTTCCATGTCAACCCCTCCAACCTGCATCATTGACTGGGGAAACCAGGTTGAAAAATTCAAAGTTCCCATCTCAACCTTTGTTGGAATTAAACTCTGGATTTTCAGTTAGTAAGGAAGCGAGTTCACTAAGGCACCATGGTTCCTGGACTATATCAATACTTACCTGTAAATAAAGAATGCTGCTATAAGAACTATCAGGATTATGGAACCAAGAACAATGATGACGATGCCATACTCTGGAAACGGTTCTGAAAGTAGAACAAAAAATCATGGTCATAAGGAAATATGTTTTCTAAAATGCAAAATACTTGGTTTTTTTTCAGTGGGTTTGCTTACGTTCTGAATGTTTCTGGGTAAAATTCAGTATCAAACAGAAATCCCTTTTTATATGAAAAATTTGCCACGGTGAAAAACATGATAAACAAATATTGAGTCACCCATAACCTCCAGGCCTTATGACAATAAATTTTCAATCTCAAACATGTTTCAACAGCAAAAGATACTCTTATTAAACAAAAAAAAATTTTTAGGAGTTATGAATTAGATACTGAATCATGAGGACATGCTTGTTCTGTGTAGAATTTTTAATGAAAACTTAATTGAAACATGTTCACAATCGATCATTGTATTATATAACACAGGGTAGTTTGTTGGGGATGAAATAAGGCACTTTTAAAGACAAACAGTCGTCTAAATATTAACTTTACCAGCTGATAGAGCTCTATTTCAGATATACATTTCAGTTACCTTGTTGCTACGCATAGCCTAACAGACATTCTAGATCTCTAGTCAGACATGACTGGTAAATACAATCAAATGAATAGTCTAAAGCTTCTCAAACAGTAGCCCTGTTTTATCATCAGGAAACTTTAAAGTCATTTATAACAATCACTCAAACATGACTGGCAAATAGCATCTCTAACAGTAGCCCTGTTTCATCATCAGGAAACTTTAAAGTCATTTATAACAATCACTCAAACATGACTGACAAAAAGCATCTCAAACAGTAGCCCTGTTTCATCATCAGGAAACTTTAAAGCTATTTATAACCATCACTCTAACATGACTGGCAAAAAGCAACTCAAACAGTATCCCTGTTTTATCATCAGGCAACTTTAAAGCTATTTATAACCATCACTCTAACATGACTGGCAAAAAGCATCTCAAACAGTATCCCTGTTTTATCGTCAGGCAACTATAAAACCATCTATAATTGTCAGGAAGCGAATGTGTTGAGTCCAGAAATAGACAGTAAGTTGACTGGTACCATTCTTAATAAATCAATCATGGAGCCAGTGACTGACATCAGTACGTTTCAGACATTCAACCCATGTAGTCTTTAATACTTTCACTTTTTATACCAGTCATATTAATTAATCAATAAGTCATTAATATTCAACGCCTGAGTCGTTAGGCGGTGCTGTTGTATTAATTCAAAGCGTTGTTTTGGTCCATGGGGTATCGTCAAGACTGGTAAAAGTTACAAGCTGAGGGCAGAGTTCCACGACGCCATTCAGTGCCTGTCAATCATCTCCAGGATATGAATATGAATTAATTTATTCTGATTCCAACCATTAGACTGTGATAAGTATCAAGGGAAATCCCCTGTCAGATAGATTAAAGAGAGGACAGAAACTGACAGACAGAATCGTGGTCCTGAATTTTAAACAGGTCAAAGAGGTCATGGGTTTTGACCATAGTCTGGACAGATCCATGAAAACACTAACAGTGGCTCAAGAAAAGTTTTAGTTGTGAATTTTCAACAGGTCATAGATCTTGTCCGTGAGCTTAGACTGGATAGATCCAGGAAAGCATTGGTCCTGGATCCAGAAAATATTGTACGAGAAATACGTCTTGGAAGGGAATTGAAAAAAGGTTCTTGAGAGTTCATGCAAACAGAGTTTTAGTTTGACAGATCCACAAAAATCATAGATACATAACAAGGAGATCCACAGCAGCAATGGCCATGGATCAAAACTAATTTGACATGCAATACTTTGATCAAAACACTTGTTTAAGGTGCACAAGTTTATTCCAATTGAAAAAAGAAATTCAAAATACCTCAATGACTGAAAAATATTTGTACTGACAAAAAACACCATCCTTTCAACTGCAACAATTTTATTTGACTGACAACAAGGTAGTCAAGCAACACAAAATAATATAGAGACCCCTGTCAATACACCTGAACACTAATTAGTGAAACTTAATTAAAACTTGAGGTGACTAAAACTCAAAGAAACAAAGAGATAGAAATAGGGGCAGAGAGGTGTGACTTTAACTTCAGATCTGAACTAATTTTTAGTAGCCTATTCTCCTAATCTGATTGGTCACTTTCAAAAATAGAATTTTATTAACCAATCAAATTACAACTGAGACCTTCTTAAAAGTTTTTGTGTAAGCAACCAGATGTCCATTTCACAACAACTAAACTTAGAATCTGAAATAAGTTTTAGTAGCCTATTGTCTTTCTATGATTGGTCAGTCACTTAATTTGAGTTTTATTAACCAATCAAATTACATCTCAGGACTTCTGAACAACACTCTCATTTGAGTGTTTATGTGAAGGCATATCCATTGACAGAAACTGGAAAATGAACTGATCTTTGTAGCATATTCTCTTTTTCCATTGTTGGTCAATGGAAGACTAAAGCTAAGCCTGTTAAATCTTGCTGAGGTACAGGAAACAATTTTTCTCTGCCTGTGCTTTTGTGTTGTAAATATTTGATTATCTTCACAACCACTGTCTCCTAACATTACTTAGTTAAGGGCTGATTACAGCTTCTCAAATTTCTGTCTTTTCTCTTGGCACCTAACAATACATCTTCAAATTTCAATATTTCCCTCGGCCTGCGCTTTCGTGATGTAAAAATAACATCCAATTACATTTTCTAGGTCAAGTCTGATTGGCATGAAACTACGCGAGAGTCGAGGTCGATCAAGATACAGATAAAGTTAAGTTGAAGAATGAAACTACAAGCTATTTATTTCCCTAGAGGAAACGCTTCAATAGCCTGGCATCATACTGTTTATAAATCACAACTACCCAATACAATATGGCATCACTCAACAATCAAAGCTAGAAATTACTTTTATAGTTTGATAGAGGTTGCAAGATGGGAATTGATCAAACCATATCCCAATAATCTAGATTAGCAGTGAGGGGGGGGGGGGGGGGGGGGGGAAGG